GGAGGAGGAGGAGGAGGAGGAGGAGGAGGAGGAGGAGGAGGAGGAGGAGGAGGGAGGAGGATCCCCTGGCGCGCGGAGAGCGCGCCCAGGGCGCCGCCAGAGGCGCCCTCGGCGCCGCTCCGAGGAGTCCGCGCGGGCCTCCAAGAGCTCACGAGTATCATAAAGCAGCCCAGGGAGGCACAAGCAGAGCTACACAGATTCCAGGACCCCCCCCACACTTGTCCATCTTTCCTGGACTTCCCTCGTCCCCCCATGTCCCATACCTCTTCCAGGTTGGTATGAGAATCGACGTTTACTTGTCCTTGTGCAGACTGTTTCCTCCTACAGCTGGACCTAGAACAGAAGAGCGCCCCTGAAGAGCATGAGACCCTCCGCCGGCCAAATTGAAGAACATTCGAGGGTGCCCTCCCCCAGGATGCCACAGGAACACCGAACAAGCACGAAGAACCTCCACGAAACGACCTCGCTCTTATACCTCGGTCCGACCGTGATTCGTGCCACTGTTTCTCCCCGAAGGCCAGGGCGAGCTTCAGCAGGAGCGCGCACAGCGCGAGCCACGCGACCCGGAGCGGCCTGAGACGGCGCCCGCCAGGGAGCGACGGAAGGGCCTGGTGCCATAGCCAGTCGCGGGCCTCGGGCAGGAGCTGCGCGATCGCGCCGAAGGACAGCAGCAGCGAGTTGCTGGCGGACGCGTAGACGAACAGCGTGTCCCTCGTCGTGGGCGGAGCGCGTATCCGTGTCCGCGGCATCGCAGGCTGGCCCCGTGGGCCGCGACCCCGCGGATGCGGAGTGCGTTCTGTGCGCCGGCGCTCCACGCGGAGCGCCTCCGTGCGACAGCGTGTCCGCGGGATCGCGCCCCAAAGCACCCAGGCCGCGAAGGCGCGAGAACGGATATACGTTCGCCGCGCGTGGCCTCGCGGGGAGCTCCTGAAGGAACGTCAGGAAGACCAGCTGGAGGGCTGCCTGCTCAACATCCTGGAACAGCGCGCGGGCCATGGCGATGCGCACCTCGGCGGCCGCTGCGGCCCACGAGCTCTCCCCGCCCAGGTGCTCCTGTAGGGCCGGTTGGACCAGGTGGGTCAGCAAGAGGTTGTTGGAGCTACGCAGTGCCTGGAAGATGCCCTCCACTCGCAGCCTCTCGCGATCCTCTGGATTCTGAGCTCGTCGGAAGAGGAGGTAGCATCTGAACAGCATGAAGAGCTGCACGCAGATCTGCATGGCACCGACCCCAAACAGCAAAAGCCATGCAGCCACGCGCCATACGTCGTAATCACACGTCCGTGCCAACACGTAGAAGACAACATCCTGATACGTGCTGCTCAACAGCATGCCCATGGCCACAAGCCGGATCCCGCACCGGAGCCAGTAGCGAACGAACAACCTGCAGCCGCTGGAGCCGCAAACCACACAAACCAACGCGACATTTGACAAGACGGAGAAAAGCATGTAATAGAACCAAGCCAGGTGCACCTCCATTGGATAGCCGACCTCGCACGAGTAGTCCGCTTGGCCCGCCACGTACAGCGGCAGTATGACAGCAGCTACCACGTTGCCCACGCCCTGGATAGCCAGCACGCCGGCGGCGCGGGCAGTCTTGAGCCAGGCAAACATGCCGTGTGCTACCTCGGTGCGAAGGTCCCCAGGCGGCGCGGGCGCAGCACCCTGTTGCACCTGATCGGGGGGGGCGCGGCACAGACGGAAAGGACAACGGCGAGCGACGCCCAAGCCGGCGGCTTCAATGACGTCCACGACGCTGTCGTCCAGCGTTGGGCCCTTCAGCCTCGTGAGCCTCGGCGGCCGCTGCACGACCCGCGCCCCCTGCCAGTCCGCCAGGCCGCTGTGCGGGACCCAGCCAGTCCTCTGGGCAGTGCCACGGGGGGAGATCACAACCAGGGGGGGGTCGCTACCTCCTCTGAGAAATGGACCACGGCGGATCCGGCAGGGCCCCCCAGGACCCCCGAAGACGCCCAAACACGCCCAAAACATCCTCGATCGTCCCTCCTCGATCCCCGGCTTCTAGACCCAGACATGCAGTGTTTCGATTGCCTCAAGATGGGGCCCCCGAGGTCCCAACTCACTCCCCGGGGCCAGGATTCCATCCTGAATCGGTGTTTGATAGTGAGGGGGCCCGGCCATGCCCGTGGGAGCCAAACTCGGCCAAGACCGCCCGCCCTGGTCTGCACGACGCAACCATCTCTGGGGAAGGAAATGTGACCCCCCTTTGGCGCTAGACGTTCCAAGCCCCCTCCAAGAGACCCCAAGGAAGCCCCAAGAGGCCCCCACGAGGCTTCCAAGCGGCCTCTAAGAGTTTCCCAAGAGGCCCACAAACTACCCCCAAGAGGCCCCCAAGAGCGCTCGTCGTCGTCGTCATTCAGGGTCGGCGGCACCGGCCGTAAGGCCTTCGCAATATGACCCCCATTTGGCGTTCCCTTCGCATCCCTGCCCGAATCCTGAGGAGCTGGCGGCGCCACTTCTCCCGCTCCTTGGCCGAGGGCGGCACCGCCCCCCGTTCGGGGGCGAGCGGGCCGCGGGGAGGGGGGGGGGGCACACACGCACACACACACACACACACAAACACACATACACACACACACACACACACAGCAAGCGGTTTGCGTCGCGGCCGCGCGCGCGGAAACGCGGCGGAGGAAGTCCGGCGAGGAGAAGCGCGCGGCCAGCCTAGGTCACGCGACACGGGGGCACTGGGAGCAAAGGGGACGAGAAATGGGCAGACAACCGGGGACACATGCATAAACACACACTCGAAACACACACACACACACACACACACACACACACAAACTCACACACACACACACACACACACACACACACACACACAAACACACACACACACACACACACACACACACACACACACACACACACACACACACACACACACACACACACACACACACACACACACACACACACACACACACACACACACACACACACACACACGCACACGCACACACACACACACATACACATACACATATATATTTATACATATGTATGTAAATGCATGAGTGTGTCGGCGGCGACTTGGGTCCAAGTCGAGCGGTTACGATTTGAGGACGCCAGGGGACATTGAGTTTACTTTGGGATGGGAAAAAGAATTGAAACAGGCTCGTGAAACTGGGAAGTAAATAGCTGGAATATGATTGGTCGAACGAGACCGATCCCATAACTAGCAAAAATGTCACCTCCCATCACTGGCCACGCAGCGCAGCCCCACATGGCACGACGGGCCGCGTCTGGCACATAGGCTAAGCATCCTGCTGCGATCTGGCCCCGTGGGCCAGCGAATCCACTTGAAACGCCTGGCTGGCCCTGCCTGCATCAGGTGGCCGATTAACGCGGGCGAACCCAGAGAACCAACGCATCGAAAAATACAAGACGGTTTTTTTCCAAATTTTCGGCCGTATAAGGGGCCCGCGCCGGGCCCTGGGACCGTCAAGAAACGACCCAGGATGAAAAAAAAACGGCCCTGGGGAATGGGTCGAGACTTCGGGGGGCCGCGCATTGAAAAGAAACACGACATCGGATCTCTGGAAATACAACGCCAAGCCAGGAACGCCGCAAACGCAACGCATCTTCAGCTCGCAGCGTCTGCGCCGCGACCTACGCCTGCCCCACCCACAATGCCCCTGTCATCCCGTTCCACCTCGTCATCCCCCCAACACCCGACTCCCCCCTTGTTTCTCCTCCCCTTGTGTCTTCCTCTCCTTCTCGTTCCCGTGTCCTCGCCGCGCCCGCCCCCGCCTCGCGCGCGCGCCTCCCCCCCTCTCCTGTCCTCTCACCGCGCCTCGGTCCTTCCTCCTCCTCGTCGCAACCCTTCGTTTCCTCCGCCGCCCCCTCCGCCTCCACCTCGGCCTGCTCCTGCTCATCATCCCTGGCCCCATCGCGCCGCGGGCTCCACTGGAAGACTCCGGAGCCGAGCGCCCCCTGGGCCCTGGGAAGCCGGGGCTTCCGCCGGGCGGCGAGGCTTCCGCCCGGCGGCGAAGCCCTGGGGCCGCCCGGCGGGCTTCCGGGAATAGCTTTTGCACGCGAAACTTACTCAGGTTTAGGAGACCTCCCCCGCGGACTTCCCGCGGAAATCCGGGAATAGCAGCTGTTCGGTCTGCGCGGAGTACCTGTCTTCAGTTCTGACTCCGTGCTCTAGCTGACTCCGAAGCTGTTTCAAAGCCATCCGCTTCGTTTGGGCTCCCATGCAGGCGGGCGGCAACACCTCCTTGCAGAGTCGCCCCCCGCGAAGTCCCTGCCGCCGCGCCGCCGGCCGGACGAGTCTCCAGGCCGCCGGGCCTCCGGGCCAGGCTGGCGGTACCAGGCCACCGGGCCCGGCCGGGCCGGGGGGCCAGGCTGGGCCCTCGCCCAAACTCACCTGCCCTCGCTTACCTTCTGACCCCAGCAGCACACATGAGACGATTGCTGTGGTGCCTGAACGGTCTCACTCTGTCACAAAGAAGCACACGCCCCTTCACTCTTACCCTCAACCAAAATGAAGGGGCCCTGGGGCACACAAATCAATACACACAAATAAAAGGATTCCCTATATTTCCTACATGTTCTGGTTTTTTGTCTTCCCCCCCACACATCCCATATTTTCCCATATTTTCTGCGGACTCGACGATTAACTGTGTCTGTGTGTTTTTTCCCTCCTGACAAAAGCCTCTCGTTTCCCCCGCTCTCCGCGCACTCTCGGCTGCACTGGCGCCGCCAAGTCCGCCGGCCGCCAGCACGGCCGCCAGCTCGCCGACCAACCGGTCCGCCAGCTGCCCGCCTGCCCGACGGGCGGCAAGGGCCCCGCGTAGGTTTTCACGAGGATCCCCGCGCGGGCCTCGCCCGTGGGGCCCCTCCTCCTCCTCCTCCTCCTCCTCCTCCTCCTCCTCCTCCTCCTCCTCCTCCCTCCTCCTCCTCCTCCTCCTCCTCCTCCTCCTCCTCCTCCTCCGACCTGCGCGCGGACCAACTACTGGATCCCAGCAACACGGCCTCGCTGCTGAAATTCGACCCACTGGGTCTCGTCGCTCGCCGCTCTGGGCACTGGGCCTCGCTCGTCGGGGCCCGCAGATTGCAGCCTGCAGACAAAAGCGCTGGCTGCGCCCAGCACGGGCCTCCACCGCGCGGCGGAACCCGCAGACTGCAACTCTAGGGCCAGATTTTGTCCGTTGATGCAGAACTGCTGGGTCGGGAGGCAGTTACGCTGCCCCGCATCGCGCGGTTCAAACTCTTGCGCCCCGAACAGCGCGGTGCAACGCAGCCCCCTCGCGACCATCGCTGGCGCTGCACTTTGAGATGCTCTCTTCCTCGAGCACCTACGCCTACACCACCGTATTGCACCAGCTCGATCCCACTGCAAATCTGGAACTCAGATGAAAGGTCTAACTGTTCGGTCCGAAGGACATTCATGTTCAAACGTGCCGATCGGACCACCCGACGGGTGATAAGGAGGTCGGGGGGGGGGAGGCGGTCGATTTGAGATGGTTCTGGGTCCTGTGGTCGCGCACATATGCCAATATATCGATCGATCTTTCTATCTAAATATCTCTTTTGGATAATCATAGTCCGATGTATACACATACCTATATACACATGTACACATATATCTATGTATAATACAAGTAGATGTCCTGGTAGATCTGTGTACGCATATCAGCCTATCAGTCGATCAAACAATAATCCAACCAAACAATGTATACATGTATATATGTCCAACTAGATACGTCTCTGTCTATATCTGGAGATCGGTATATATCTCTATAGACAGTCAATCTACATATATGTATGTGTTTATAGCTATCTCTCTATGTTACGATATAACAAAATAAATCGTATAGATATGTCTCTTTGTCTGTATATCTATATACATATATATATATATATCAACCATCGGGACAACCATCGGGACAACCATCGGGACAACCATCGGGACAACCATCGGGACAACCATCGGGACAACCGCTGGGACAACCATCGGGACAACCATCGGGAAAACCATCGGGACAACCAGCGGGACAACCATCGGGACAACCATCGGGACAACCATCAGGGCAACCATCGGGGCAACCATCAGGACCACCATCGGGACAACCATCGGGACAACCACAACCATCGGGAAAACCGTCGGGACAACCGCCGGGACAACCGGGGGCCATGCCCGACGCTCGGGGGGCGGCCCTGTTGGCAATAGATGGCCCCTACTACGAATGGAACTCGCGCGGCTTCGCCGCGCCCGCACGCACGACACAAACCGAAACCGAAACCGATTTCCCGGTTGGGGTCACTTCTGTTCCAACCCCCCAACCGCCGATACTCATACGCGAGCCAAGTTCTCACTGCAAAGAACTTCCGACCCCAAGAACAGAAGCACTTCTGACTTGTCCTAGTCGTTATTGAATTAAGGTAGCTGGCGCTGGCGCTGTCTGGGAGAGGGACACACACACACACGCACACACACACACACACACACACACACACACACACGCACGCACACACACACACACACACACACACACACACACACACACACACACGCACACGCACACGCACACACACACACACACACACACACACACACACACACACACACACGCGCGCGCGCGCAAGCTCGGCCCCACGCAAGCCAATCGAGCGACGCGCTCGGCGCCGCGCGCCCAGTGCAGCGAACTGCCGCCGGGGCGAGCGGAGGTCCTCACGGGGCAGCCTGGGAGCGGAAGAGCGCCAGGCCCTCACGGGGGCAGCGGCGGGGGGCCGCGGGCAGCGGCCCGCGGCAGGGAGCAGCGGGCCGCGGCGCCAGACGGACCCCACGGGACGGGCCCTGGCGGGCGCCGGCGGGCCAGACACGCACTCGGGCGAGCTTCCTGGGAGTGCGGGCAACGCACGGCAAAGGGCACGAGCACCAGCACAGGATCGACGGCACGGCAGCATGAGCAGCGACGCAAGGCAGAAGCCGGCGGATGCAGCCGTGCGCAACTTCGGGCGACGAGGGGCCAGCACGACAGAGGCGAGGAGGGCCAAGCAAGGGCAGAGTGGGAGAGCGGGGAGCCGCGAGCGGCAGCTGGGGACGGAAGGAGAGGGAGACCTAGACAAGCGATGTCTGGATTTCTGTCAACACGCGACGATCCCTGGTGAAAACCCGAACCTGTCCCAAGGGCGAGTTGTTTCGTCCTGACTCGTTGTTCGACTGTCCTGGGGCACAGCGAGGGCCCGAGAGCCCGAAAATGGCCACAAAAACTCCCTCCTCCTCCTCCTCCTCCTCCTCTTCCTCCTCCTCCTCCTCGTCGTCGTCGGCGGCGGCGTCGTCCTGTCGTCGTCGTCCTCTGTCGTCGTCCTCTGTCGTCGTCGTCGTCGTCCTCTGTCGTCGTCCTCTGTCGTCGTCCTCTGTCGTCGTCCTCTGTCGTCGTCCTCTGTCGTCGTCCTCTGTCGTCGTCCTCTGTCGTCGTCCTCTGTCGTCGTCCTCTGTCGTCGTCCTCTGTCGTCGTCGTCGTCGTCGTCGTCGTCGTCGTCGTCGTCGTCGTCGTCGTCGTCGTCGTCGTGGTCGGCGTCGGCGTCGTCCGAGGCCTGCCGTCGCGCTCGCCTCCTCACGGCGAGAGGAGGTGTGGGCAACGGGCACGGTGCGGACGAGCGGCGGCGGCCGGGGGCCCGCGGCGGACGGCCGGGGGGAGGGCCCGCGGCCCGCGCCGAGGTCGGCAGAGCAGCGGACGGGAAGGCAGAGGGTCAGAGCGAGGTGCGCGGCACGCTGCCCGATCCATGCAGAGGGACTGCTCTTCCGTGCTGCCCCTCCCTGCCCCCCCCCCCCCGACGCCGCGCACGTGTGCCACGGAGGAGGCCTGGAGCTCTCCCGAAGCCCCCGAGCCTCCGCGCGGAGCCAGAGTCCTGGACGGCCCCAGGGCTCGAAGCAGGAAGATCTGGAGGCCGAAATCACGCAAGGAGGAGGAGGAGGAGGAGGAGGAAGGAGGAGGAGGATGGCGGAGGACGGAGGAGGAGGAAGGCGGAGGAGGAGGGAGGAGGAGGGAGGAGGAGGACGGAGGAGGAGGGAGGAGGAGGAGGAGGAGGAGGAGGGAGGAGGAGGGAGGAGGAGGAGGAGGAGGAGGAGGAGGAAACAACCCGCAGAGGTGAAGCAGGCAGGGCGTCGGAGCTCTGGGCGCACGGTCGGAAAAAAAATGTTGCTCCGCGTGTGGCCACGGCGGCCCCGGCGCGACGCGCTTTTGGTCCCCCTGCGGGCGGGCGGCGTGCCGCTGCGCCTCCGCGGGGAGGGGGGTACGACGTTGAGCGACTTTAGGCTTATTGCGGGATGACGATTAAAAAAACTGGATGGGACGCACATGGACATACTAATACTATATGTCCTCCTTGGAGGCGCGCGTCCGACCCGAACATATAGTATACCCATCTTGTAGTATATCGTTTCCCGAGCGGTGTGGCCAGAAAGCGCCCGCCACGACGCATATACTATAAGATTTCTCGGTGCGCGCGTCGCCCCTGGGGGGGCGACGCACATATAGTATAAGTATGTTGGGGTGTTGCCGACTGGAGGGAACGATCAAACAAATAGTTTTCTGCTATCTGTGTACAACTTTCTGACTGGAAGAGAACGATTTGTTAAAAAATAGTGTTCCAGCCCGCGGCCGGTTTTTTCTAATCGTCATCCCGGGCGCCGCCGCGTGAACACGACCCCCGGTCATTTATTCATCGACATCCTCCATTAGGTCGGGCTTCATCAAAACATGTCCCAAAAAATCGTCATCAATTCTCAAAAAGATCGTCCCCACATTACACGTCGGTCGGAAGAAGCAGGTAGAAACATGAAGGCCCGGGAAACTGACGCCTGGGGACCGCGGAGTGGAGGCAGCGTGCCGCGCCGAAAAGTGGTGGGCCACAGCCAGCGGAGCGACACACGATCCCAGAGGTCGGGGTAAAGAGACGGGACGGCGCTCCTGCTCCCGAGGCAGGCTGACTGCAAACTGCACGTGCATGACGTGGGCGTCGACGTCCTCGCCATGGTCAACCTGGGGGGCTCCTCCTGCTCCTTCTCCTCCTCCTCCATTGCTTTCCCTTATAAATAAATTCTCCCTGTCGCAGCCCGAGGCCAGTTTTAGGGCGGTCTGGGCGTTTCACCTCAGACGTCCTCACCAATTATGAGCCTGACGCTTAAACATTGGCAACAGCTTCACGGATGGAGGGCGGGTCGTTTTCAAAATGTGGGCTCTCGCATCAGCGCCGCGCACACTCTTTTCAAACATGTACACGAGCTTCACGGATTGAGGGCGATTCCTTTTCAAAATGTAGCTCTCGCCTTAGCGTCGCGCAGATTCGTTTTAAACATTCGCTAGAGTTTCACGGATTGAGGGCAGGGCCTTTTCAAAATGAGGCTCTCGCCTTAGCGACGCGCACTTTCGTACTTGTTATGTGCAAACGGTTCACGGGTTTCCATGATCAACGTAGCAGAAATGGCGCTTTGGAAGGATTCATGATTATGAGGGTGCCACAGTTACGTGGATTCGCGGTGTTGAAATCCCAGGAATGGCGTTCTGGCACGAATCGGGATCGTCAAGACGCAACACTCAGGTTGATCCGTGGCGTTGGAATCCTGAGAACGATGTTTGTCATGCATCAGGGTCGTCGAACGGTTGTCTTCTAACGAGGCAATTCCCTCATTGAAAATGGCCCCTTGTAGGGGCATATTAAAAGGAAGCCTGGAGCGAGGGTTCATTCCAACATCGTTGACGACTATTGAGTTTACACTGGTCCTCCGCCTCCTCCTCCTCCTTCTCCTCCTCCTCCTCCTCCTCATCCTCCTCATCCTCGTTCTCCCTCTCCTCATCCTCCTCCTCCTTCCTCCTCCTTCTCATCGTCCTCCTCTTCCTCCTCCTCGTCCTCCTCCTCCTCATCCTCCTCCTCGGTTTCATCCTCCTCCTCCTTCTCCGTTCCTTGTCCTTCTGAACAACTCCGCCCTGTCGCACCCCGAAGCTGGTCGAAAGGGCGAGCCTGGCGC